TATAGAACTAGACAAAATCACTTGATCCACTTCAAGTCAGTTCAATTCTGGGGTGATCTCAGACAACTTGCACAAGTAATAGAGAAAATGACTTCCTCAGGAAGGTGAAAGCAAGAATCAACAGCACAATAACAGCTAACGAAAACAAGTTTAAGCAATCTATAAGTAAACCAAATATAAGGATCTCTAGGATGAGTGGATACTTTTTACGTCCTCCTCTTCCACCTTCACTACTTCTTCCAGATTTCGCACTGCCATCAAGACTTGTAGCAGGCAAAACAGCAGCAGCAGCATTCTCTCTTTCTGTCAAAAACCATACACATATATTCCAAGTTCAAAATCTAACCAAGGTGGACGTATTTCAGAACTGATAAAATATGTATTTGAAGATTAGTAAAAAATGAAAATTAGTAAAACACCACGCCGGAGCTCTTCATCAAATCTTTTCAAATGTTGATCAAGCTGTTGTATGTGTGTATCTACCTGAATCATGATTACATCACAAACAGTCAGAGTATTGAATGATAACCGTGCAAAGGAGATTGATCCCAATTCACAATTCCACATAATGTAGATCTGGGTCCAAAATTAATATCTTTAAATTTTGCAACTAAATTGAACTAGCTCACTGCATTTTTGGTGGCACCAGGCACAGAAGCAAGTAGGACAAGGAAAAGTTTCATGATGAAGAAAATTCTCCAAAGATGAGATTTATGAAATGTCATTCAGCAATGAAATTTTAAAATGCTTTGTGCTCAAAGTTTTACCATAGGGGAAAGGAAAACCAAAATAACAGATAAATGCTATCACAAACGCTATCATTCATCCTTACAATGGAAGAAAAAGGATCAATTAAATTTCCAGGGAAAATCCACAAGAGAATCATGCATTTATTCTTTTCATGAGGTAAGACTAACACCCAACCCTTCAATGAAATAAATATAATTAACCATGACTTATTGATTACCAGTCCAATTATGAAATACAGAAACATAAGTAGCCATAAAATAATACTATACAGACAGAACATCGTAATTCCCACAACTTTTGACCTTAAAATATAATGTGCCTCTGCAAAAGCTAGACAAAATCTTGCCCATACCTTAGATGGCAAATGCTAAAAGAATCCGATAGTGTCAAGTAAAGCACTGTCCAGGAAAAAAGGGATGACAATTGCAAACTAAAGATTTGGCAAAAACAGAACGAAAAACAATAAGAGCCAAATATCATACAACAACAAGCATTGTAAATCACATTTACTGAGAATAACATCAAAGATATAAGTCCATAAGTTAAATATTGACGTCACAAGGAGAATCAACAGACCAAATCATAAGCTTGAACAGCCAAGGCAACTTTTTCATCCGCAATCCTGATGCTATGCTTTTGCTCATCTAGTGCTTCATCTGAGAATCTAATATGTGAAGTATCTGGTGTAATATTTCCAGCCCTGACACCATTCTTGATATCCTCTATTTCTTGTTCACAACGTTGTTCATTTTGTTTCACAATTTCTGTTCATATACAAAACACAAAAATGTGGTTGAGGCCACAAGTGAAAACAGGATAGTAGAAACAGGAAGCAAAGCCAAAATAGAAAACAAAGCCAGATATGTTACAATAACCATAACTTTACCTTTACATATAAAAAGGAAAACAAAAGGGAAAAAAGTGCTTCATAACTAGACGCTAACACAGCATCACAAGTTTACACAGCCACATAAACCTGGGGTTCTGGGGGAGGGTATTGCAAAAAATTATGACCTTGATAACTGAACTCACATTATTAACTTGAAGTCAAAACAAAGGTCATATGTCACACAACAATAAAAGCATCTAGAAAAGACATTTTACTCTTTGGGCATTTGGAATTTTCACCTATACCACTAGATGCAGCAGAAAACTAACAATAGAATTATGGTAATGAAGAAATGAAGAGAGCATTTACAAAGCAATAACTGTCTCTTTAAAGGATACCTTGCAAACTTTTGTCCAGATCACGGATCAATGCATACTTCTTTTGTAGAATATTTGGTAGTGATTCCAGATCTGTCCAAAGGCAAAACAGTTAACCTATTCAATAACCTAAAGAATAAGGATAAGAAATGTCATTAAGATTTGCCAAAACATCATATATATTGCTCAAACTGGAGGGTCCACATGTTATATCCACCTAATTAACACAACTGAAATTAACCATCCTTTATTTCAAAAAAGATTGGGTGTAATATAAGTCATTTTTCTCCACTTTGCTTGACTTAGGGCCATGCTTCCACAGAGGTGTTTAAATTAATTCATTCTATTGACTGAAGAATGGAAATAAGCCTTGATCTTGAACAATGGCACAGAACAACTTTATTTAAAAGATTAAAAAAAATAAAAAATAAAAAATCTGTGCCCAATTGTAAATACTGTGAAGAATTTCATAATCCTATGCCAAAGTATCAAAACAATCAAACGACAAAGAGAAGGTCCAATCAAAAGTAATTTGCATACACACCTGGTTAACCATTTTACTTGACTATTAAACAACAACTGGTATTTATTAAAAAATAGAATCTGTATAATAATTACACATTGCAACAGACATTATCTATAATAAGCAACCACAAGCTCTGGTTATCATCATAAACAAATGAGTTTATCCATTCATTTTCCACCTTAAAAGAGATAGTCTTGGAGCAAAAAGGTGCCTTAATTTTATTCTTTTCTTACATTCTTAAGTTCAAACTACATGATACCAAGAAACTAGCATGGTTAGTGTTGTAACTGTAACTTCAAATTAGAGAAAAATTAGGATTACGTGATTTCTAGAGATTATCTGTGATTTTAAATTTAAATTATAGATAAGGTTTGTTAAATGAGGATTTGAGGAAAATCTCTAAGCAGAGGTTAAAAGGACCTCAGGGAATAGCAAAAGGGGAGACTGAATCTCAAACTCTGTATTTCTTCTTCCATTAATGAAATCCTGGTGACTCCAATTGATTGGGTCCTTTAAATTATTTTTCAGTGTTAACATTTGGCGCCCACCGTGGGGCCGATTGTTGCTCACGGTGAACCCTTACAATTAAGCAATGGCCAATAATCGACGGACTCGTTATGGTGCAAGGTCCACTACAACCCCATCTTCGTCTTCACGAAATTCTACTCGGCAAGTCCAGAGATCAGGTCCTTCTAGGCATGGGAATACAATAGAGGATCAAATTCAACACCTCACCCAGAATATGGCACAAATGGAAAGAAGTGTACACGCAATTGAGCAAGCGGTAATGCTTCTAACAGAAAACCATGGCCAATTACATTTGTCGCCGGTTCGTGCACATCGGGCTCGTGTACCACCAAGGAGGTATTCTCCATCACAAATGTTTAGAAATCAACGACGCACCCCCCCAATCACAGGATATTTTGTTCCCCGTGGTGCAAAGAGAAGGTTCAAATGTGGAAACACAAGAGAACGATCCTGACTATGTCCCATCACAACGGTCAACGAGTGCAGACAATATCAACACTCTCGAACCAACCTCGGCTTTTTTAGTCCCACATTGGAACTTCCGTCCTCGCAGGTTGGCACATGTATCACACACCTGGACCCGAGGCTCTACGAGTGCAAATACTCCCGAGTCAGCAAGCAGAGTCCAAGCCCAACATCACTTTAGGGGTTATGAGCCTACACAGGCCAATTTGGAGGATAAAACAATGATAACAAACCACAAGGTGCAATTAAGTCGCACGCGGGACTCCCTTAGGGAGCGAAATGAAACTCTGCAAAAGGACATGGAAACTTTGCGCCAACAAATGGAAGAGTTGCGCACGGCACAACAACAAGCAACAGATGCTCCACAAATAGCCTCTATAGGTGATCCATTCTCTGACGAGATAATTAAAGAACCCATGCCTCCATCATTCAAGCCACCTCAGTTGACACAGTATGATGGAACACAAGACCTGATAGAGCATATGAGAAGTTACAAGCTAGCAATGATGATTTATGGAGCGTCTGATGCATTATTGTGCAGAGTGTTCCCTTTTACACTGAAGAAAGCAGCTCAAACCTGGTACTTTAAATTGAAAGCTAAGTCTATTAACTCTTTTGAGCAATTAGAAAGATGTTTTATTGACCATTTTACTGCTAGCAAAGTCTCGAAGAAGACTAACCACCATCTAATGAGTATTAGGCAGAAGACTAATGAAAGTTTAAGGGCCTACATCACTCGTTTCCATAATGAATCTCTGTAGGTGGATAATCTGGATGAAGGAGTGGCAATGCATGCCTTGATGAATGGCTTGAAAGATTGTGATTTCTTGCACTCTCTAAATAGAGAAGAACCAAAAAGCCTTAAGGACATACTTCACAGGTCAGAAGGCTATATTCGAGCTGAAGAACGTGCTGTAGCCAAGAAAGGTGGTGAGTGTTTCAAACCTAATTCAGTTGTAGCAGGAGATAAAAAGCAAAGGTTTGACAGGTCAAATGACATAGTTGATGTTAGAGGAGGAAAGCGAGGAGTTGGTGGAAATCTCAAGAATTATTGCTCTGCATTGCAAGAGGCGCCAAGGGTATATACCACATTCACACCTTTAAACACCTCAATGGCGCATATACTTGCAGTGGCGAAGGAGACAAAACACCTCAATTGGCCTGAAAAGCTTCGTAGTAATGGCAACAAGCGTGATAAGACTCGTCATTGTGCATTTCATGGGACCCATGGTCATGATACAGAGGATTGTAAGCAGCTCAGAATGGAAATTGAACGATTAATTCGTAGGGGAGCGTTGAGGCAGTTTGTTGGGCATCCAGGAAGCCAGAAGGGAGCAAGGAGAATGGAAAGGTCACAAGACAGTAGGGAAGCTGGTAGGCATAAAGAGAAGGAACCTCTAGATGTTGTGGGGGTAATTAATGTTATAACAGTCCCGCCTTCAACAACTCCAGCATCTATGGCTTTAGCAGTCAAAGGAAGCAATGAAAGCCCACCTTCAACTCAAACCATCACTTTCACTGGGAAGGATTTGGATCAAAGGGAGGTGTTCCCACATGATCCACTAATGATTGAAATAGTGGTGGAAGATAGAAATCTACGAAAGGGCAAGGTGATGAAGCGTATCTTGGTGGACACAGGGAGTTGCAGAGATGTGATGTGTTATGGGGCATTCAAAAAGCTAGGAGTATCTCCATAACTGATGAGACCTTGTGATTTTCCGTTGGTGGGCCTTTCTGGAAAATCCGTGCCTGTAAGAGGTATTATCTCTCTCCCTATTCATGTTGGTGTTTCCCCTTGTGTGGCTGTTGTTACCTTAGATTTCTTTGTTATTGATGTCCCTTCCTCTTTTAATGTAATTTTGGGACGTCCTGGGCTTAACTCCTTGCAAGCGGTGGTCTTTACACAAGCAATGATGATAAAGTTCCCTACGCCAAATGGAGTTGGAATGGCAAGAGGGAAGCCAGTTGAAGTAGTGGAGCGAACACCACAAGCTCAAGACCAAGTGCAAACATCATAACCTAAAAAAGTGACTAAGAAAAAGTACAAGTCAAAACATTGGGATCTGGTGGCTCTTGGAGATATTGTCAGGGAAAAAACTCTGATAGTAGACAGCCTAGACATGAGGGAGGAATTGAAGGAATGTCGAACTGAGCCAATTGACCAAGTAAAACCTGTGGTTCTTGATGAGAAGAGGCCCGAGCGTACAGTCAACATTGGTTTAGACATGGATCCAAGCTTTATGGCGCAATTGGAAAATTGCTTAAGGGAGCATAAAGACATTTTTGCATGGTGTCCAGCAGATATGCCAGGTATCGATCCAAAGGTTGCATGCCATAGGCTTGGAGTTAACCCAGATGCTGTTCCTGTTAGACAGAAAGTGCGACACTTCGGGGCTGAAAGGACTGTAGCTATTGAAGAAGAGGTAGCAAAGCTTAAAGAGGCAGGATTCATTCAAGAGATTACTTTTTCTGAATGGTTATCAAATGTGGTGATGGTGAAAAAGGCCAATGGAAAGTGGCGAATGTGTGTGGACTTTACAGACTTAAATAAGGTATGTCCCAAAGACAATTATCCTTTGCCAAATATTGATGAACTAGTTGATAATTCCTCTGGTTATGTGGTTTTGAGTTTATGTGATGCATACTCTGGGTATAACCAAATTCCTATGGCAAAGGAGGATCGGGATAAAACTGCATTCATAGCAGCAGGTGCTACCTATTGTTATGTTGTCATGC